TAGTACTGTACAAAGGTTCATGTGAGGTGGATTAATTGATTAATTACATAATTGGTGAAGGAGCGATTTGGACTAGTCCGAACTATAGAAAGACTCTTGGTTGTAGCTGGCGTTCGGTTGGTATTGGGTTACGTCTTTCTTGCTGTGTTTAGAGGAGTCTGGGTAAATAAAGTCTCCTAGCATAAATATTTTTGCTGTCCACTGGGAGTTTTGTGTGCTCGGGTCTCACAAGCCACCAGTGGAGAAGTAGGCATTTCAAATCTTGTTTAAAAATTCTGAAACTCACATCCGTTTTAAAGAGGGTTAACATGGAGGGCTATCTGCCCTGGAACACTGTAGCCCTTTTCTGAGACTTATTCGTGACACTTTCTCTCTGTTAATCATGGTTTAAAGCCACAGTTTGTGTTAAGGTTAATAATGCCACTCCTTCCTTTACCAGTGTCATTATGATTTAACCCTCTTTAGTTTTACTACACACAGTAATATCACAGTAAACTCTTATAAGGGCATGAACAGAGGCCAGACAGCTGTGCTTCATCCATCTAAATTTAGGCACACTACAGATTGTGGAAGAAACTGCTGACTCATGTGATGAGTCACTGAGGATCATTCAGAAGAGGGGATCCTGGGTTATGAGGTTGCTAGAAGCTGGGTGAGCCACACAAAGTTGAACTTATTCTTAAAGCCATCAGTGCTGGAGAGCCCTCAGCTCAGACGACCTCAGCCTGGGAGCCCCCTGTCAGGTGAATGGATAAGAATCAGAGAGACTCTGCAAGAAAGAGGAGCTGATTAAGAGCCATGCACCACTGCATCAGGGTATTAATTAGGCAGCTAATTCATTACTGTATCAAATTAAAACCAAATGAGCTATTTAATTGTCTTACTATGCATATTGTTCAGAAATTGAATGCAATTTTAAAGTACATTCATGATGTGTTGCTTTTTTAAAAAATTGTTACAAGTTGTTTTGGATAAACCAATTTTATTATAATAATTACACATGCAGGCTTCTTATTATATTCTTTATGCATTGCGTTTTTCATAACGTTATTGTGTTAAGCTGTTTTGAATAAAGATATCAACCAAATTACTGCTGCAACTTTTTAGTTATAGGAACAATATAAGAAAAGTTATAAGTAAAAGGAGGCCATGTGGCCCATCTTCCCTGTTGGGTTGTTGGTAGTATATTGTTCCAAACATCTCATCCAGTCATTTCTTGACTGCTTCAACAACATGCCTGGGCAGCTTGTTCCACAATCCCATAACTCTTTGTGTAAAGAAATACCTCCTCCTCTTGGTTTTAAATACACTACCAAACTAAAATGTTCAAACTGAAAAGTTATTAGAGTCATGTGTTTGATATATGTATTAACCAAGATTAATTTACTGTAAAATGCAAAATCCATCTAAAATAATATCACAAAAAGTACAACTAAATAGGTATGATTGTGTGGATCTACAGTACAATGATTTAAAAATCTATGTGAAACGCATTAGGAAGGACTAAAATATTTCTGTGAAAATCCTGAAATCTTTAATATTTGTGAGCATAGGCTGGACAGCAGAGGTCCCTACAGGTCATTTTATAACGTTAAAGAATTTTAGTGGATGCTTTGCATACTGTTTAAGGGAGTGAATGCACATGGACCTAGACTTGGTTTTAAAATGGTTTTAGAGTTGGTTTTAAAATAATGCTCCCCTGCGAAACTGAATTTTTGCTTGGAGAAATGTTTAAGCTGTGCTTCCCCAGAAGAGTGACACATATGGAGCGTGAAAAAACGCTGAAGCTGCTGTCCAAACACACCATTTGTAACAGAAGACGTACATGATAAAGATGGCCCACCAATTGTGCAGTCAGGGCAGGTGGTAAAAATAGCTCTCCCTTGTGACAGCTGAACATGTCACTTTGGGGTCCTCGGTGCCACACAGCTGTCCTGTCACCTGCCTGACGTCAATCACTGGGCGAGACGCATTCTGTGTTACAGGACAAGTGAGAGGGACCTTCCCACGGGAGAAAATGAGCTTGAGGGGACTGCGTTTTCACTTTCCTGCACATTTTAACCTGGTGCCCTTTATCTTCCTGGAAAATTAGCAAATCCACTCTAAAACTGTCTAATGGATTTAAGTGTCAAATATACACAATACATTTTGTATATATATATATGCAGCTTCAGATCAAATAATCGGCAGACTGTATCAGACTCCAGTTAGCCCACTGAAATGTCTCAACTTTTGGTTGGTATTACTTGCTAGCACTGATTGTGGGTGTTCCATAAATTAAGACGAGGCTCCTGTGAGAGATATTTATATTTTAATAATCAATTAATACTTTTTTAAATTAATGATAAACCTTGTTTTCAACACGGGGTGGCAATAGTTGTGGTAGTAAAGGTATACATTATATAAAACCCTAACTTTTTAGGAAATATTCAGCGTCAGTTTTCACTAGGAAATTTAAATATTATGAATGTACCACAGATGGGGATTTTAAATAATAAATGTTTTTAAATACATAGATCTGAATGTATAATCTCTTTAATAATAATAATAATAATAATAATAATAATAATAATAATAATAATATATAAAAATCTGATTTTGCAGTGTTTGGACACATTTATATCCCACCAAGATGTGCTAACAAAGAAACCTGGACACTAGTCAGGCTCACTGTCTCTCTTCAGTTAAAGGCTATTAAAACAGCAACTACAAAAAGCAAAATGAACATCAAAAATGCTGCTAATAATACTAAAATACTGCTCTGTTTGGACAGTAGGACTTTGGAGAGACAGGTAATTATTAAGTTGGACTCAGCAGTGCTTTCCAGCAGCACAAAATACACCCGACACTAGGGGCAGGTGTGTTACAAGTCAACCATAGCCTTGTCTGTGACCACACATCAATAAAGAGCAATCAAGACTGGCACACCTCGATTCAAAGACTAAATTATCAGTATCCATTTCCTCAGACATTGCCCATATCCTGGCTGACACACATATAAAGGGATTTCATCTTGAAGTAGATGTGGGCTATGTGTGACACGAAGACTTGACAAGTGCTGACTGACGCTTTGTTTTCGGAAAGCATACCTGTTTATTCCAGACACAGTGCACAAAGAGACAATCCTTCAAGTCAGCTAAGAGGTGCAGACAGAGGCTGGCCACATGGTCATTCTTTGGGATTGGAAGAGGGTGCCGAGTTCTCCAAAACCTGCAGAGATCCGGTCACAAATTGACTGTCCGGTCCTGTTTTGGGGGATTTTATGAGCATTCAGTAAGTGGATCTACTGGGATATCTGTGGAGAAGCCAGATTATTAGAATCCACACATGTGCAGGGTTTATATCCAATAGTTGGCAGGAACTGTAATGGCAGTGCTCTCTTTCTTTGTGTAGCACAGGTGTCATGTGCTAGGGCACTCCCTCCTGTAACCAACAGCCATCTCTGGACATCTGACCATAGCAGTCAGGCTGAAGGAACTCAACCTCTTAAGTCTTGAACCCAGATCGATCTGAGTATTAGATGGATCCAAGAAACAGTGAAACTCAAACCAGAGGGAACTATTGGAAGTGCTGTTAAAACCAAGAACAAAAGGCACTTCTTTACACAAAGAGTGGTGGGAGTATGGTACAAGCTGCTCCAGACATGTTGTTGAGGCTGATACCCTTTTTTTCCCCCAAAACAGGTGGTTGAGATCCTCCAATCAGGCCTGGAAGCACATCTTCACACAAAGGGTGGTGGGAGTGTGGAACAAGCCATCTAGCCATGTTGTTGAAGCCAATACCCTGGTTTCTTTCAAGAAGAGGATGAAATCCTGGGATCATATAACTACAAACTACCAAATGTGCCAACTGGGCTCCTCTCTGGTCTTGTAACCGTTTCTATGTTCACTAGTCCACACAGACAGATGGAGAACTATGATACAGTTCAAGTAGGTACTGTAGCTGTGTCAGTATGTGTCAGCTGCAAAGGAACAAATAAAGGTTTATTTCATGTTGAATAGAGAAGAAAAGAAACACAACAAACACAAAGGTTGAAACGTTGTGTTTCTTTTCTTCTCTTTTCAGCATGGAATGAACCTTTATTTGTTCCTTTGCAAACTATGATACAGGATGTGCAGATTTTTTACTCTCGATTAATAAAGTCTTCCGCTGTGGTCTACAAAACCCCAGAAATTTACACTCCTGTTGTGTTGTAATTCTGAATGGGAAGATGGCATCTTTGTTACACCTCACACAATGAGATTCTGCTGTGCTCTGTGACAGCCCACAGTGAGACCTTAGAAATATTTCTTAGCTTTTTCATAGGGCTCTGTTTGTTCGAGGGGAAAATAAATAAAACGGTCAATCAAAGGCAATGTCCAGAAATAAGAGTGAGCATACTTCATTCTTACCAAAGTCGCGACCTTTTTTTATTGTTCACATAAAAAAACAAAGCAATTCGTTTCTAGGACACTTCCAATATGTAATTGAAAACTGCTGTTTTAAAACGCTTCAAGTGCCTTTTATAAAAAAAAGACGGGAAACAATATGCGTTATATGAACGCCATAAATAGCTGTATATTTAACCTGATAATAAATATGATACATTTTCATAAGCAGAACTTAACAATATTAAATAATTACGTTATTTACACATATATTTTTACATTAAAAGTGTTAAGCTTATTGTTTTATTTATTTATTTTAACTCGAAAGGGTAAATGTTTTCGAACCCTAAAAGTTTCTTTAGCACACAACGGATACACACTTACAAAAGATGTATATCCTGTGCAATAAATATAGATCATTATAATTACTCTTAAGTATTGTATTACCGGAACCATGCTTCATGAATTGCGCTTATTGACTGAGAATTACGGTAATGAAACACTCGACCATCTCTAGCGTCAAAGAATCAAAGGATGTACATGGAGTAACCCAATCACATCGAGAATACGCGCTGATTGACAACCAACATATCCAATAAAGAGAGTTGCAGAGTCGATTACCGAGGAGGGCAAGAGGGAGGGATGTGTAAGGAAGTTAGTGTGAAAAGGGAATTCTGTTGAAAGGCGTGGATCTGAGCCAATAGGAGAGGAGGGTGAGTGGATGGGCGGGCCGTGTGTGACGGAGAGGAGGGATTTGGGGGTCATTCAGGGCCTCACGGGCTCACTCTGTCGGCGTGCGGTTTGGGGGACGGGCTGTGGCGCTCACCTGCGGTAGCGCAGCCAGCTTCTGGGGAGGAGGCAAAACTACACTAAATACATTACAATCACCCCACTGTTGCCACCCATGAAAAGCTGAAGAGCACAAACGGACAGCGTTGCTTGCGTCGCCTTGAGCCAGCAGTGTCGGACCCCGAGCTCATCAGGAGCGCAGGCGGATTGCATGAGTTTCTCGTCCCCGGAGTGTGACTGCATCCGACCAGCACTTCGACAGCGTATTTAGCAGCGCCCAGATCCGGCGTCACCCAGAACACTCTCTCCCCCCCAACCCCCCCTCCCCTCACTTATCCCGTCCCTCTCTCCGTCTAAACCCCGGGACACTGGAAATCCACAAGCGGCCGGGAAGCGGCGGCGGCGGCGGTGGCAGGCCGGGGCAGCGAGGGGGTCTTCCGGAGTCACAGGGAGCCGGCGAGCGGGAGGAGCACCGGGGGTTCCGTGAGGCGGCGAGGATGGACGGCCTGGCTGTGGAGGTCCGTGGCTCCAACGGGGCCTTTTACAAGGTAACGATCGGAAACGCCAGGGGACGATCTGAAAAAGGGAGCCCAAGGCTTCTGTTTGTGTCGGATTGGGCGGTGATTTGCGTCCAGGCCCGCACGGCTCTTTGTATCTTTCTGGGGTCTTGGGTGACTGGGGAAGGCTGGGGGGGGGGGTGACCGCTCTTTCTGCGGGCGAGGTCCCGTCCTGGCCTCCTTTTCCCGTGCAACATGAAATCGGTAGCTCAAATCATTTCCAGCTTCATTGCGTTGGTTTTAGGTGACAGATCCTCATCATGGGAACGCGCTAGACCTGCAGTAGTTCCTAACCCGTGTTCCTACCGGCGATCTCGGCTTCACACCTGCGTGCCACGAAAAACACAATCCACATGGCTTCACTTTGCTGTCCGCTCGTAGCGGTGCGTTTCTTTTATATTTCGCCATGATATAAACAAAGCTTCGCCAAGGTGCGGTGGTTTCGCTTTGTTCTGCATTTACACCCGCAGATCAGCGCATCTTCATGTCGGAGAAGTCGGTCGCTCCAGGTTAGGTGTTCAAGAACTGGTCCTCTGGGGGAACGCCACTGGTTTTCTCCCTTAACTGCAGCTGTAGTCCTGGCGTCGGTCTCGTTTTCTCCTGTTTATACCTGGAAATACTGCTTTCAGCTCGTGTTTGGTCACCCCACTAGTTATCCCACTGCAAGGACTAAACCACAGACACTGGAAGCCTATTGCGAGACGCCAGTAGGGACAGAAGTTGCAACCTTTCACACTTCGTGTTGAAAGCCCATGCTTAAGACTGCAATCTCAGCCACATGTAACACAGCGTCCTGAAACCACGTACTGGCACACCGCTGTAGGTATCGATAACTTATCGATAAAGATTCATACTGAAGTAACAGGCGGTGTCACATTGTGGAACATTCCCGTTTCTTAAGTGGAACTCTTTCAAGCAGATTGATATAGAAATTTTCTACCACCCCATGGTTTTGGGAGCTGAGAGGCACACGAGATAATTTCAGTATACAGTATTTTTGCTGTGAGGTGCCAGTATTCCACCATGTAGTGTAAATTCCTGAGTGGAGTGGCTTTAGAATTTGGTTTTTAAATTAAGATTTTGTCTCTAGTTTTGCCTCGCAGCTCCCAGACCATACTCTGACCTTGTGCCTTTGTTAACCTAGGCTCTTGTTCGTTATTTTGGACCGTTTAGACCGCCGAGGTGGAGCAGTTTGATCCGTGACGGGTTTTGCCACCGGACAGTTCTTGCACATACCTGCGCTGGTCACAGAACTGCTTACACCAAAGTTTCCTCCAAATATGGGTGGCAGGCATGAAACATGGCCTGGTGTTGGATGACAGGAACTCAGAGTAAATCCTGGGAGTGGATTGCATCGTTCCAGGAGTGGGACTCTCCATGTCTTCCCTACTGCCTACCTCGTGTCATCTTAGCAGGTTGAGCTAATAAGCAGTGATGCTTAATTTCCTAAGGAAAAAAGCCTTTGAATGAGAAGGCTGACCTTTTCTAGCACTTTCTACACAATCAGCTCTGGATGTTTCTTGCCAATTTAAAATCCCACAATAGGAAATAAGGCCTGCGTTTCACCTCAAGTTCCGACTTTATACCAATTGTACCGATTCATCGGAAGCCAGTGCTCATCTTTCAGGCTGGTGTGAGCCCATGTGATGAAACCATTAAGAATGGTATCTGCTGGATCTTTCCGGCTCGGAATTTGGCAGTCCTGCAGTGGGGTGGAGAGCTGTATCCCCATTACCCTGTTGCCCTTAAACAGAATCTAGTGCCGAGTGAGTCCTGAGTTTTCAGGCCTGGAATAAAAAGGCAAGCGTCAGTTTGCAAGAGTACTTCTGTGATATCCTACAGAGAGCTTCAGAAGACTAACTTTCTCACTAAACAGTGTTTGATCAAGTGCTGCCATAATTCTGCATTAAAAAGTCTAGAAATGTACTTTTGTGGCAATGTTACTCTTGCTACTATTGTTGGTGTTAGAAATGGCAGTGAATTTCCCTGTTGGGGAAAAAAAATGGCTTTTATGCTCAAACTGTTCTGATCGTGTCATCGCAGAAATGAGTTTGCTGAAACTGCTTTGGGGAATTTTCCAAATCTGCTCCGTTTTGCGCTCCGGTTTCCCTTTTGCTTTCCTCCTCCTGCTCCGTCACTCTGTTCAAGTGACGGATTTTGCCTCTTGCAGTCTGCTCCCCTTGGTTTGGAAATCGGGCCTTGTGCCCTGCAGGAAAGATGAAGCGATGGGTGGGGTGGATCTCAGTGCCTGTCTGCCCTGCAGTCACCGGTCTGTGCAGTTCTGGAGCGTTAATGCCCAGCCAGACCAGTCACTGTGGGTATTGATGTGGAATTAGGTGAAAAATCAATGTCGGGTCATTTTAAAGCGATCGCGGTGTCTCTTAGTGCTTCCCCTGTTACATTCTTGTTCTGGGCAGCTAACTCGTTCATTATAGATGCTCAGCGATGGTTTTGAATGTGCGTTAAGGCAGAAGAGATTGCTTGATGCTCACCACCACCACCACCACCACCACCACCACCACTGTTACAGCTGTACCTAAATATAACTGTGTCCACATGTGTTTGGCTGCGCAGGAATAAGTAAAGGTTAGAGCTTTGTAGTGTTGGCGCACAAGTGAAGACTTGACAGCCGAAATGTTTCTTCTTCTTGCCAGTGTGGAATTAACCTTTAATTTGCTAGGTCAGGACAGTCCGGCCTTGATTCTGTTAGCCCAGTGGATCTCGGTTGTTTGTCTGTCCAGAGTGAAGTCACTCTGTTCTAAATGGGTTAAATCAATTGTTGTAAACTGGCCTGTTTTAACAGTGCAGCAGATTTAGAGGGACGTAGAAATCCTGCAAACCCACTGAGTAAACCCTCAAAGGACTATCTCGCTTTCTAGTATTTAACTCGGGACAGCAGTGAAAATGACAGTTGATTGAAACAAGTCTTTTACAAGGGAGCAGCCCTGAGTCATGTTGTGCAGTCTGACCAAAGCAAGAAATGAAGGGATCCATAGTAATGCATGCGTAGGTGAGATTGTGTGATGAATTATTACTGTACTGTTACTGCAACATGACTGTGATGCATACTGACAGGTATGCAAGAAGGGGCTGGAGTGATTACTGTGTGCGACTCGTGGAGGTATGCAATGTGTGTCCTACAGGTTTGGGTACATTAAATCACAATCGGGTGCAGTAGTAACTGCATTTTACCACAAAGATTTTTAACTTCACCCTTGTCAGTGTTTTATACTTCCAAATGTAATTGGAAGGACTCGATACGATCTCGGATCAAAACATTCGCTTATTGTGAAGCCCATCACTCTGTGCAGTGCTGTCTTTACTGATTAAGGTCTTGATTTCAGTGTGGGATCCTGTGTAGTGTAATTCTGAGTTTTACAGCTCTCGATTATCTGCTGTGTTAAAAAGTGCAAGACAGCTCTCTGCATCCTTTAACTTGGGCTTTAAATGGACAAAGTAGCATTGGATTCCTTTTTTGAAGGCTGTGTTGTGGACTGGCCAGAGCTAGCTAATATTCACTTCTCTTTCAATCAATTCATATTGATCATTATAAAGAAATGGTAGCGGTTAAAATGTGTGCAATCTGCAGAAAGGATCAAACATTCTGAACCTTGTTTGCTAACCAGCACTGAAGTTTGTCTTAGGTTTCACTGTCTTAGGACTGACAGGGAGGTCTGGAAAATTAAGCAGCCGATTATCCAGGTTACTCAGAGTTACTACTGTTTCTTTACCCGAAGGGTTGTTGGAGTGTGGAACAAGTTAACCAGCCATGTTGTTGAAGCTGCTTCTTTGGCTTTGTTCATGAAATAGCTGGATGAGATTGTGGGATTGATTAACTCATAACTCCCGTAAAGCCTAGATTGGCCGAATGTAACCTTTCTTCTGCTCTTAAGATACTGTGGCTGGCCAAGACCAGGAGTTGGATCAAAATCCAACATCGCTGAAGTTGAATTTGAAAAGAATGCAAGCGTGTGGCACAGTGGTTAGCATCGTTGACTCGCAGAGCTGTGGCCCTGGGTTCGGTTCCTGGGATGCGACCTGTGTGGAGATTGTATGTTCTCCCTGTGTTCATGTAGGTTTCCCCCTGGGTGCTCCAGTTTATTCCCACAGTCCAAAGACATTATGGGAGGTTAATTGGCTTTAGGGAAAACTGGCCCTGGTGTGAGTATGTCTGTCTGCCTTTTGAAGGAGTGGCGTCCTGTGCAGGGTGTACACTGCCTTGTGTCTATTGCTTGCTGGAATGTGCTCAGGGTAAAGGTCCAAACATGTAGAAAGCAGAGGACCAGGTTAGAGTGGGGTGTCTGAATGCTTTTTTTTAATGCAGATATGACCTGAGGGGCTGTGCAGTTCCAGTATCTTGTTCAGCCATTGCAGTTGGATTTTAAACACCTGGTATTCACATCTGGGGAGGAAGAAGTCTTGGCATCTTCAAGAATATTAAACGTAATAGCTTAGATAAACATGTCAGGGATGCAGTGTGAGTTGGGAGTCAGTTGGAATATGTTTCAGTAATATAATTCGTATCATTGCAGATGTATTGTTCCAGTAAGTGTAAGTAGGTAATGTGGTATTCTGCATCCTAGCCAAAATGTAATATTACCAGATTTCTTTTTGGGTTTGTGAATTCATCAAATAATTCTCCAGGTACTGTCCTTCCCTGAAAGTTGTCTTCAGTCATGCCCTTAGCAACCTGGTGGTCCTCGTCTCTGACCAGGACGTGGTCTTTGGCCTGGCTAATAGTACTGCCTTTTAAGTCGTTTTGGCAATTGTAATTTAGTTGCCTGACACTGAGCACCTGTTGTTTATATGAAATCGCATGACTTGAGCTATTTTATCCTGAGGAGCAATGTCGCTCCAATGACAAACCTGTCTGCTCAGTTCTGAAAACATAAAAACATTGTGCCCAGGGTGCTGTTGATGAAACACTTCCATGCTATGTCAGTATACAGTACCTGTGTATAAGATGCATACGAATCTAGGCCTAATGTTCA